ATGTCCCTGCATCCCACCCCCCCGCCCCCCCCCCGCCAGCCAGGGACAGGCCCCATCAGGATGCAGAAGCAGAGAAACCCTGCTCCTGCCCTGGCCAAGCTGTCCCGCAGGGCTCACCCAGGCAGCTGTCCTGCGTCTTCCCTCACTGCTGGCACTCAGCTGCCTGCCTGCCTTTGGCCAAAGGCACAGTGTGTGAAAACCAGAGAGTGTACAGAGCTCGAGGTGCCGCTGAGTGGCGGAGTCGTGTACTGCACCCGGGAATCAAAAGCGGCGGGGGCAGAGCTACTCAGCTGTTGTGAAACTGCCCCCATGACGCCCAAACTGGCAGCCGCTGCCACCTGCCAGGAGTTTTCTGTGGCTTCCAGGGTGCCGAGCGAAGGTGGAGTCCAGTGCTGGTGACTCTCCCCACGGCCAGCCCCTGGGCCATCTTCTGGGCACCACAAGCCCAGGAAACCCACCTCCCTCTCCACGCATCCAGAGGGACTCACATCGGGGAGGGCCCCGGCAGCAGGCACCCCCACCCGGTTTTGGCTTCACTAGTCATCCAAGGATGAAGGTAAACACCCACCACTCCAAATCAGACCCACATTTGAGCTTGAGATCCGGCTTCATGATGCTGGCACATAATGGAGACTCCTGGAGCCTCAGTTTCCTCAGCTGTAAAACAGGGATACTAACGCGTCGCAGAATTCCTTACACCCAAGGTTTTCAACCTTGGCGGCAATTGGTGTCACTGGAAGCATGAGAAACCACCAGATACCTGGTTCTATCTCCAGAGTTTCTGATTTAACTGTTCTAGGGCACAACCTGGGCGTCAGGGTTTTAAAAAGTTCCCCTGGTGATTCTAATGTAAGGGAAGGTGGAGGTGGAAAATCCCCACTTTCAAAAATGTCTGAGACCTCAATAAAAAGTTTGCTGTTTCCACAAAAGCAGCCAGACATGAACTAAGCATGAATTGTATGATTCCACTTATAACAAATTCAAAGACAGGCAAAACTCATCCACGGTGTTAGAAGTCAGGATCACTGTCACCCTGGCTGGGGGTAGTGAATGGATGGGGGCCTGAGGGGCTTCTGGAGCTCATGGTGTTCCATTTCCTGGCCAGAGCCCTGCCCCTTATGCAGGGGCGC